TTTCCTGACCCAGGGGGACGTGCAGGGCTCGTTTCTTCTTCTCTCAACTGTGTTTTGTGCTCTATTCTGTGGGGAAAGAGCTCACTGGATTGAGTCCAAGGCACGCTAGACCTTGGGGGGCTCCAAGGAGGTCCTGGCAGCCTCAGAAGGCCCAGGAAGACATAATCATGCATTGTATTATATACAATACTATTTTGTATACTTGAAGGTTGCTGACAGTAGAGCTTAAAAGTTATCATCACAAGAAAAAAGTTTGTGACTACGTGTGGTGATGGATATTAACTTACTGTAGTGATCATTTCACAATATAAACATATACGGAGTTGTTATGTTGTACACCTGAAACTAATATGTTGTCAATTACACCTCAATAAAAATTTTTAGAGGCCAGCCCAGTGGCATAGTGGTTAAGCTCAGCCTGCTCTGCTTAGGTGGCCCGGGTTTGAGGGTTCGGATCTCAGGCACGGACCTACACCACTCATCAGCCACGCTGTGGCGGCAACCCACAAATAAAGTAGAGAAGGACTGGCACAGATGTTAGCTCAGGGCAAATCTTCCTCAGCTAGCTAGCTAGCTAAATTAAATAAATAAACAAACACATACATACATAAATAAATAAATATTTTAAAAAAGGCAGCAGCCCAGGTCCAGGAGTCCCCTTTGCTAGCCCCTCGTCACTGCTCCTCTCCCGGACCGTGAGGACGGCACAGCATGGGCCCCCCCTATACATGGAAGGGCGGCCCCCTGGCACTCGACGGGGAAGTCAGGCTGCAAGAGATGGCGAGGAAGCAGACACAATGCAGGTGGAAGACATGGCCGTGTCCCGCCCCAGGGAGGGACAGAGGGAAGAGCAGGAGCAAGGGGCCGAAAGCACTGCAGAACTGCTAATGCTCAGGAAATGCAGGGTCCCCATGGCCCTCCAGGACCCTTCGGGCCTTCCCTGTCCCTTCCTGGACGCCCCCTGGGGGAGGGCAGGCCGCCTCAGCCGGCACTCCTGCGGGGATGGCCAGTCCTTCTCCACGGGCTGGGCCAGGGACCACAGGCACCTGCTGGCAGAACTTGTGCCTGTCCACGAGCAGCCATCGGCTTTGTCACCTGCAACCCAGCACCCAGGGCCACGTGGCACTGCAGCCTCGTGTACTGGGATGCCCGGGTAAGCACCTGTGGGGATGCAGGTGAAGTAGAAGGGCTGTCTAGGGGGCTGGCAAAGTGGCTGTCCAGAGAACATAAAAGGAATACCTCGTGCAAGCAACTGAAGACGTGATGACTCAACCCTCTTCCTAATGTCAAACAGAACAAGCGTTATACTCTGCGTGCGCCCTGACGGCAAAAGCTGGGAGCTCTAAGGAGTCAGAGCATCTCAGTTCACACTCCAGAAGAGAGTCCATTCAGGGTTTGACGCTGGTACCCCAGCTCCCAGGACTCCTCTCCTGCTGCCCCCATATCACGTACATTCCAGCTCAGTGTCCTTTGGACCAGCGGCATCAGCAGCCCAGAAAACTTACATTCTTGGTACTGACACAGGCTATGGCACGAATGAACCTTGCAAACACTACGCTCAGTAAAAGAAGCTAGTCACAGGTGACTTACTGTGTGCCTCCACTTACAGGAAACGTCCAGAAAAGGCAAATGAGACAGAGAGTAGATGAGTGGTATCTAGGGCTGGGGGCGTGGAGGAGTGACGGCTAATGGGTACAGGATTTCCTTTTGGGGTGATGAACACGTTCTAACACCACAGAGTGGTAAACTACATGATACAACGTTGTGAATACGCTAAATACCACTGAACTGCACACTTTTAGGGGTTAAAGTGTTGAATTTTATGTTAAGTGAGTTTATCTCAATCAAAAAAAAAAAAATCTGACAAAATAATAAAAGAAGTGTATATCCTTGGGCCCCTCCCCAGCAACCAGTTCTAACAAGTCCTCCAGGTGACTCTCACACACGAGAACGCCCAAGAACCACTCAACTGACCAAACCGCCCAGAGCAGGACCAAGTGCAGGTGTCAAACCCCACTGTGGCCACCATCCCATTCCCTGGCGGGGGTCAATGCCCACGCACAGCCGTTCCACCATGAAGCCCTCCCAGCCCCCAGGCCCAGCCAAGTGCACTCAGCTGCTGAGCATCCCTGCTATTCTAGGACATCCACATACCTGCATGACGCCATGAGGGCCCAAGGCCTGCTGCTGAACCCCAGGGTGGCTGCTCCCCAAAGCTGGGCTTGCTCTGGACCCTGTGGGCTCCCACTCAGCCTGCAAGGCCAGCGGAGTTCCTCCAGGCCTCCCTTCTCCAGATTATAGCCCTGGGCCTGGCTAGACTCCCGTGAGTCAGGAGGGCAGCCCCAGAAGCCCTGCCTACCCTGGCCGCAGGGCCCCTCCCCCAGGGCAGCTGAGGGTCTCTATGCAGGGTTAGGAGACCCCACAAACCACACTGGGTGCTGATCCCACACTTGGTGCTGATCACCAAGTCCTTCCCCACTGGTGAGAAGTGCCGTGTGGGTAGGGGAGTCCCCGAGAAGAGTGACTGGGAGGGGCTGAAGGCACCACACAGCCCTGGGTGCACTTAAGGGGCCTGGAATCCCACTATGACCTTGGGCCCTGGGAGGATCCACACCCGTTGGCTTGGCCCACTCAGCTCTCCTCGGGGACTGCAATCGCTTCCTGACCTTCATCCCTGCTGCTTCTCTGTAAACAAATCCCTTGGGCCGGCCCCGAGGCTTAGTGGTTAAGTGTGCGCGCTCCGCTACTGGCAGCCCAGGTTCAGTTTCCAGGCGCGCACCGACGCACCGCTTCTCCAGCCATGCTGAGGCCACGTCCCACATACAGCAACTAGAAGGATGTGCAACTATGACATACAACTATCTACTGGGGCTTTGGGGGAAAAAAAAAGGAGGAGGATTGGCAATAGATGTTAGCTCAGAGCCGGTCTTCCTCAGCAAAAAGAGCAGGATTAGCATGGATGTTAGCTCAGGGCTGATCTTCCTCACAAAAAAAAAAAACAAAACAAAACAAAACCCACAAATCCTTTATTTCCCACATTTCTGGATTCTTGCAGGAAGTGAGAGGGTTCAAGGTGGGGTGGACCCCCTTGGGCCTCAGCCCCCTCATGCTTTATAGGTGACAACATCTCAGCACCCTCAATTCCCCATCTGGGAGCTCCCCTCTACTGGGACCCACCCGGGGTGGGCTGTGGTGTCCTCAGAGCACCCCAGTCTCCTGTGCTGTGCACCGCCCCCACTGGTCTGACCCCTCCTCTGGGCCCACCCAGAGCACAGGATTGCAGTGTGTTGCACTGTGACACCCAAGAACTTTGCGAGCACTTGGAACCCACGAGGTTCAGGTGCCGGGGGAAAACCAGGCTCTCAGCCTCTGCGGGCAGGCCTAGGGTGCGCCAGGGGCCTGGGGGTGCCTCCAGCACTGAGGTTGGAAGAGGTGGGACACAAGGGCTCACACCTGGTCCTGGACTGACTGGCAAGTGTCCAGGTGTGTGGAGAGAGCAGCTGCAGCTCTCCAGGCCCTCCTGGGGCTGTCTCGACCCCAGCCCCATCTGCTTTCTTGCTGGGACCCCAGGCCTACTCTTAAGTCCAGGGACATCCTCCTTCTGCCTTTTCAAAACCACCCCTTCATGGATGGTGGTAATGGCTGCACAACGCATGAATCTACTTAATACCATTCAACTGTAGACTTACAAATGGTTAAAACAGTAAATTTTATGTGTATTTTACAACATGAAAACAAAAACTTCCCCTCCTCCAGGAGACGAAGGACAGAGGCAGGAGGCGTGCCCCCTGCCTGAGCTGGGGTGCCCTCTGCCTGCTTCAGTCCAGCCCCCAACATGCGACAGGCCAGGCTGCACAGCTGAGTCAGGAACCTGTGACCCCAGCTCTTATCCCCTTCGCGTTTCCCCTCCCAGGACCACCCTTAATCTACTCGATGCTTTCCCCCAATTTATGGCCACTTCCCAAGCCTGAGAGGGCGCCCCTGTACCCAGCTGTCTTGGTGTCCACACCACCCACCAAGCAGAGATGTTTACCCCCTACTTTTTAGCAGTCTTCCACTGTGTGAGCCAAGAATGTTCCAGTGAAGCCAATTCTGTTCTGGCCCGGCCTGGGCCGCAGGCAAGTGTAGCGCCCCTCGGGTGGGTGGACACCCTCCTGACACTGCACTCCTTTCCCGTGCAGACAGGCCAGCAGAGCAGTCCACCAACCCGCACGTCCTCCTAGAAGGGGACGGATGGTGGCAGGGGAGCCCAGCGCAGGACCATCAGCCACATAAAGGTGCTGGTGGCCACAGATCCAGACGCAGGGCCCATGTGTCCATGGAGCCAACCAGCCTCTGCACAGACCAGTGGGGATGACTGTTTTCACAGTGTTGCCATCAGAAGCTCCCTCCAAAAATAAAACAAACCCCCCAGAAAAGTCAAAAAAGGAAAGAGCTTCCAGTTACCCTTTCCCGAAGGGCTCATTTTGGTCTCGCAGAACATGCAGCAGAAGAGCAGAAAGAGAGTGGGTACCACCACCAGCCCTCCTCGAGTGTGAGTCAAAGGCCAGCACCCTCCTCTGAGGACCTCGTGGCTGTCATGTGGATACTGTCCAAGGGTCTTTCTTTGCCCTAAGTAACTCCAAATGGGGACATGCAGTGTGGCTCCCCTGAGCTGGAACGCCAGGCTGAGGCGGCACTAACACAGAGCAGACAGGCAGCCCTTCCTAAGACGGATGCAGAACGGGCCTCCCTCTGCCCTATCGGAGCCCACTGCGGCTGCACTGAGGGGCGGAGCCGGGCAGCTCAGACTCTCAGAAAGGACACGAGGAGACAGCCCTTGCACCTGGCTCCAGTCCGTGCGTGCGTGGGGGTCAGGCGCCAGGAGTCAAAGGGGAGTCCAACAGAAAGCCTGTTTCTGAGGGTGAGTAAAGCTCCCTGAGAGGACGCCGGTGCGTCAGCACACCTGTGGGGTGCCACGGTGAAGCCTCTCGAGCACAGAGGGACAGCAGAGACCCCACTGCAGCAGTCAGGAGGCAGCCTGTCACATTTATTTATTCCTACTCAAGAGAACCCCAGAACACAGGAGCAACTCTGTACATCTCTACAAACACAGCTAGCTCCAAAACAATAGAAATTTTAAACTACAAAAGATGAGTTGTATTCAGCAAATATAAAGAATAACTTTCGGCTGTGTCGTTCATCAGAATATTTACAGCGCCCAGTCGTGGGTTCAGATCTCGCCAGCCTCCTTCTCCTCCGACCTCCGAGGAGCCGTCTTCCCGTTGGAGCTCTCCAGCCTCCAATCCGCAGCCCCCCGCTCGCTCCGCCCGTGCTCCCAGGACTCCTCCCTCGACGCCCGCTCTCTGGAGAACCTGGGAAATGGGAACCAGAGGCTCAGAGGAGGCTGGCGCTCCCCCTGGCTGGCTCCTCAGGCACCAACAACTTGGACCCTCAACACCGGGTCAGGGAAGGCCAAGACCATCACACCTGGGGAGGACCCCCAGCAGGCCAGAGGGCAGCCAGGCCTGCCGTCTCATGCACAACGCATTGCATAAGGGAGTGTCAGGCAGCCACTAAAAAGTGACATTTGCAGAGACTACTAATAACAGGGAAAGCTTTCACTATAGTGTAAATGGAGCAAAGGAAAACACAACAGAAGTACACAAGTGGAATATAATCCATTACATAAAAATACAATGGAAAAAAAGACTAAAATCAAGAATACCAAAGTGCTAACAGTGGTTGTCTCTGAATGTGACTATAAGTGGTGTTTTTTTTTTTTCTTTCCTTAAAAACAATCAAACACCACCACCCCCCGCCCTGCCCAACAAAGGTAAGCAGGCCTGGGCAGGACACAAGCCTCAGGGGCTCTGTGTATGCCAGTGACGGTGAGTTCGCAGCCCGAGTGCGGCAGGTCACCTGGTAGGGGCCCTACCCACCTGTGCCCGTCACAGCCTCTCAACTGCCCTAGCCCTCAATCCACCTGCTGCTCTCAGCTCAGGGCTCCCCGTGCCAAGCCCAATTCACACCTCTCAAGCCCCAACACTCAGTCCTCCAGAGGCCCAGCCAGGCTCCTGGGCAGAAGCCCCAGCCCTGTCCCTACCAGGTGTGGCCAACGGGCCCTGACGACAGACCCCCAGCAGACCGTGGGAACACAAAGGGGCTCACTCCTGGTTGCAGCTACTGAAGGAGTCAGAGTAGTTACTTGTATTTCGCACTCCGGTCCCTAGAAGCCCGGCGGTGGCCCCGGCTGTGGCTCCGGGAACGGCTGCGGTGGCGCCGGTGTCTGTCTCGGGACCGGGACCGGGACGACTTTCGGCGCTCTCTGGAGGTAGATCTTGACCGCCTCCGACGCCGGTCCCGGGAGCGTGACCTGCAGCAGATAACCAGAAAGGCTCTGAAGGCCGCGAGGGCCCCACCTGATGCCCCTCCACTCTCTGCAGGTTCTGCTCGATGCTTTACTGGTACGTCCCCTTTCCTTCCACAAATTTACAACTGAGGTTCACAATAGTCCCATTAGTTAACCTCTGGTCAAAAAAACTTATGGCCAGACCTTTCCCACCAATGCTTCCCGAAAACATCTTGCCAGGAATCTCCTGGCCACCCTGCAGGCCTCAGCTGCGCCCTCTGACCTTCCTTCTCATTGACAGTGGATCCCTCTCTTGCACTAAGGCCCAACCACCCCAACGACAGATGGGATTCAAGTCTCGCCCACGCCCCGTGCCCTTCACTGGCAGAGCCCTGCCCACCAGATAATCATCGTGAAGTTATAAAAGTTAGTTATTAAGAAAAATGCACATGGAAGAGGACACTTGACTGAGAACACTTTAATGAATCCGGAAACCTACCTCCTGCGATCTCTGGTTCTTGATCCAGACCTAAAATGGAAAAAAAGATGAACAATTTCCCAAAAACAGCTCCATGCCTCACATCTGAGGGAAAGGGCCCCAAGTCCACAGGGTGAAGACGGGTTGACTTCCCACAGAGACCTGCTACTTTCTAGCTGCTCGCTCATTCTCAGGCGGGAAGCCTGAGGTGTCAATGCTCATGGGATGAGACCCACCACCAACCCCCGGCTCCCAGCCGCTTTGTGGCAGAAGGATAGGACCAGCACCCAGGGGCCAGATGCTGCACTGAGTTCAACAACTGACTCGGCAAAGTCTTTATAGTGGACACCAGCACAGCTATGCAGACAGTCACCAAACAGACGCAGGGCTGGGCAGGATCTAAAGTGACCAAAAGACGCGCAAGTTAAAGCAAAGCCTCAAGTTCCAACCACAGGTTCACTGCCGGGTGAAGGCTGCATGAGCTCCCTGGGAAATACTATACAACCAGCAGTCTAAGACATGCGCTTTATAAGGAGGTCTCATTTCATACCTGTTCTACAGCAGAAATTTACAAGATTGCCACCATGTGCTCAGGAGGAAGTGACAAAAGATACACCTGTGGCTGGAGGGTAATCTGATAAAGCCTCCTGGAAAGCAATTGTTGCAACACCTACCAATATTAATATACTAAACTCCTCTGTCCCAGGAATTCTAAGGAATTTTATAAAACACTCAAACATATACAAGGATGATCACTAGAATACTCATTCAAAACAGTTTTTTTTTTTTTTCCATAATTTTATTTATTTATTTTTTCCCCCAAAGCCCCAGTAGATAGTTGTATGTCATAGCTGCACGTCCTTCTAGTTGCTGTATGTGGGATGCGGCCTCAGCACAGCCGGAGAAGCAGTGCGTCGGTGCGCACCTGGGATCCGAACCCAGGCCGCCAGCAGCAGAGCGCGCTCACTTAACCGCTAAGCCACGGGCCGGCCCCAAAACAGTTTTATAAAAACTTAGTCATCAGGGGCCGGCCCCGTGGCTTAGCGGTTAAGTGCCCATGCTCCGCTGCTGGTGGCTCGGGTTCGGATCCCGGGTGCGCACCGACGCACCGCTTCTCCGGCCGTGCTGAGGCCGCGTCCCACATACAGCAACTAGAAGGACGTGCAGCTATGACACACAACTATCTACTGGGGCTTTGGGGGAAAAAATAAATAAATAAATAAATAAAAACTTAAAAAAAAAAAAAAACAACTTAGTCATCAGAAAGTCAAATTTTTAAAAAGGATAGGCAACAAGAGCAAAGACAAACAAGTGGGACTACATCAAACTAAAAAAGCTTCTGCACAGCAAAGGAAACCTAGGAAGAGGAGAAAATATTTGCAAATCATGTATCTGCTGAGGGGTTAATATCCAAAATCTATAAAGAACTGCCACAACTCAACAGAAAAAAAAAATCCAATTCAAAAATGGACAGAGAATCTGAATAGACATCTTTCCAAAAAAGATATACAGGCCCACAAAGATGCTCAAGATCACTAATCACCAGGAGATGCAAATCAAAAGCACCATGAGCTTCAGCTCACACCCCTTAGAATGGCTACTATCGAAAAGAAAAGGGGCCAGCCCAGTGGCATAGCAGTTACGTTCGCACTCTCCACTTCGGTGGCCTGGAGCTTGCCGGTTTGCATCCTGGGCACGGACCTACTCACTGCTCACCAAGCCATGCTGAGGCAGGGTCCCACACAGAGCAACTAGAAGGATGTACAACCTCACATACAACTATCTGCTGGGGCTTTGGGGAGAAAAAAGGAAAAAAAAAAAAGGAGGAAGATGACCAATCGTGCTCAGGGCCAATCTTGCTAAAAAAAGACAAGAGAAGTGTTGGCGAGCATGTGGAGAAAAGGGAACTCTCCACACTGCTGGTGGGAACGTAAATTGGTGCAGCCACTATGGAAAACAGTATGGAGGCTCCCCCAAAATTACAAATAGAACTACCTACATGATCCAGCAATTCCACTTCTGGGCATCTTTCTGAAGGAAATGAAATCACTATCTTGAAAAGATATCTGCACCCCACGTTCACTGCAGCATTATTTGTAATAGCCAAAATACGGAAACCTAAGTGTCCACCGACGAATGAATGGATTAAAAAAAGTGGTACGTAGACGTAGACAGACAGACACACAGACATACACTCTCTCAATGGAATATGCTTCAGTCGTTAAAAAGACTGAAATACTGCCATTTGCAACAGCATGTACGGACCTTGAGGGCATTTATGCTAAGCAAAGTCAGGCAGAAAGAGAAAGACAAACACAGGCACACCTTGGAGACACTGTGGGTTCAGTTCCAGACTACTGCAATGAGGTGAGGACCGCAACAAAGTGAGTCACAGGCATGTCTGGGTTTCCCAGTGCTTATAAAAGTTATGTTTACACTGTACTGCAGTCTATTAAGTGTGCAGTAGCATTATGCCTAAAAAAATAATGTATGTACCTGAATTAAAAAAGACTTTAGGGCTGGCCCCGTGGCTTAGTGGTTAAGTGCGCGCGCTCCGCTACTGGCGACCCGGGTTCGGATCCCGGGCGCGCACCAATGCACCACTTCTCCAGCCATGCTGAGGCCGCGTCCCACATACAGCAACTAGAAGGATGTGCAGCTATGACATACGACTATCTACTGGGGCTTTGGGGGAAAAAAAGGGAGGAGGATTGGCAAAAGATGTTAGCTCAGAGCCGGTCGTCTTCGGCAAAAAGAGGAGGATTAGCATGGATGTTAGTTCAGGGCTGATCTTCCTCACAAAAAAAAGTAAAAAATAAATGTTAAAAAAAAAAAAGACTTTATTGCTAAAATACACTAACCATCATCTGAGCCTTCACTGAGTTGCACTCCTTCTGCTGGTGGAGGATCTTGTAAAAAACACAGTATCTGTGACACGCAATAAAGCGAAGTGCAATAAAATGAGGTACGCCCGTGCCATATGATCTCACTCATGTGTGGGCGGGGGATGGGCCACAAAAAGGGCAGTGGATTATGACACACCATTGTAAGGGCACCGTGCAGCCATCAAGAGCACGCCTGCTGCGCGAAGATCTCGGAGATGAGTGAGGGTCCCACAAGTGCCCAAGCACAGACACACCCACCACGAGAGTGGTCTCTGTGTAAAAAGGGACTTGCTTGTTTTGCTTAATACATTTTTATACTGTCTGAATCTCTCTACAATCAGAATGTTAGATAATTAAAATAACAAAAGAAACACAAAAATACAATGAACATTTATTTGTCCTTTGTTAGCGAGGCACTCAAGAACTCCCTCAGGAAAGCCCAGTCTCTGGGCCTCTCAAGGACAATGAGCTTCGCCCAACAGGAGAGGGCAGTTACTCCTGGCTCCAGCCTCTTCCTAGAACTCCGAGCAGATTCAACGTCTCCACCCGATGTCTCTAAGGCATCTCAAACAGAATACAGCCAGAGACAAATTCTACACCCCACATCCTCCTCACCCCAATACACTGCTCCCAGTCTTCCCACCTCCATAAGCGGCCATTCCAGGCCAGAAGCCATGAGGCCAGCTCCAGTGTCCCTTTGCAAGCCTCACGTCTGTCTACCAGCAAACACTATCAGCTCTACCCCCAGAAAACACCCAGACCGTTCCTGCCCTTACCTGGTTCAAACTGCCACCTCCTTCACCTGGACTCTCTCAGCCAGCTCCTCGCTGTTCTCACCGCCTCCAACCCGACCACCTCCACTTGTTCTCTACAGGGCAGGAGTCCTGCCCCTCCTCCACTGGCCCTGAGGCCCTCCCCTGGGGGATCGTGCCCACAGCAGGGCAGGCCAGTGTAACAGAGCAGGCTCCAGCGCCAGAGAATCACAGCTCCGGCCTGTCCTGTCTGCTGAGTGCTGCACCCACAGAAGTCAGGGTGCACTGGGGTCTTCTCCCCCTTCTTCTCTTCAGCCCTTGGGGGGTCTGCACCTCTCTAGCTAAGAATCAGGTCTTCACAGCTGGGGACGGCCCTTCTCAGTGTTGCACAGCAGTGCACAGACAGGCCCTCCTGGGCCAGCCAAGACCTCGCTAACTGAACCAACTGCACATCTGTCATTTTTCTTCAAACAGCCAGATGGGGACTTGCGGACCTCCCTGTGACCAGCAACACTGCAGGGAGGGGGGAGGGGGTGCCGGGGCTCACCTCCTGCTCAGCCGCTCCTCCCGCTCCCTCTCCTCTCTCCGCCTCAGTCGGTCCTGATTTCTCTTCTCCTGCTTTTCAGCCACAGTTTTCTAAATAAATGAAAAATTGGAAAATGAGAGAAGAAGTTACACAAACTAGAGTGTGAACGTTGTTTAACAGAGCACCTTTATGTGACCTCAGTGTTGGTAATTTAAAAATCTAGGAGAAACTCTTAGCAAACAGGAAAACAATCACTTCTAAAATTTCTTAAACAATGGAAAATTGAAAATATATGAAAATAATGCTTTATCATTACATTTTATAAATTCAGTGACAAACTGCATATTCTAAGAGAGGCTGAGGCTGTACTTCTAAGTCAAAGGAAATTTATCACATTGCTTGAAATCTATCCAGAAAGTTAGTTTTGTACCCAAAGAAGACGCCACAAACTTTGTGTGTGTGTGTGTGTGTGAGGAAGATCAGCCCGGAGCTAACATCTGTGCTAATCCTCCTCTTTTTGCTGAGGAAGACTGGTTCTGAGCTAACATCTATTGCCAATCCTCCTCCCTTTCCGCCCCACCCCCCAAAGCCCCAGTAGATAGTTGTATGTCATAGTTGCACATCCATCTAGTTGCTGTATGTGGGATGCGGCCTCAGCATGGCCGGAGAAGCGGTGCGTCGGTGCGTGCCCAGGATCCGAACCCGGGCCGCCAGTAGTGGCGCACGCACTTCACCGCTAAGCCACAGGGCCGGCCTGACGCCACAAACTTGATGGTGAAAGAGAACACACGTGTCTGACAAAACACACCCTGCTGCTGGTAGCAGCCTGTCCTCAGGGCGCTGCGCTGGCTTTAGCCCTGGCCTCGCGGAGGACAGCAGACCTGGGGAGGTGGGCCACGGACCCAACACAACTGGCGTTCAACACCAAGCTCAACACTTGACCCATTGGGCTTGGTCATGAATGCAACGGAAAAGCAAATGCAATAGGCAAAGGAGGCCTCGAGAAACCTCACGACTGGACCACTATCCACCCAGCTCAGCCAACAGCACTAGGTCCAGTCTAGGACCACATCACAGCACTAGTCCACACACTCCACCCCCAACATCCACCCAAAGCCTTTCGATGCCCCCATCTCTCTGCCAAGTTAAATGAAGCCCTGAGGGGAAGGAAGGAAAAGCCAGTGAGACAAAGGCTCAGCAGTCTTCTCACGCCCACGAAGGTGGGAAAGACAACCTTATGGGCCGGCCCCGTGGCTTAGCGGTTAAGTGCATGCGCTCTGCTACTGGCGGCCCGGGTTCGGATCCCAGGCGCGCATCCCAGGCGCGCACCGACGCACCACTTCTCCGGCCATGCTGAGGCCGCGTCCCACATACAGCAACTAGAAGGACGTGCAACTATGACATACAACTATCTACTGGGGCTTTGGAGAGAAAAAGGGAAAAAAAGGAGGAGCATTTGCAATAGATTTTTTTTTTTTTAAATGCCAAGTGGCAATTCTCTATTTTTTTTTTTTTTTTTAGATTTTTATTTATTTATTTTTTCCCCCCAAAGCCCCAGTAGATAGTTGTATGTCACAGCTGCACATCCTTCTAGTTGCTGCACGTGGGACGCGGCCTCAGCATGGCCGGAGAAGCGGTGCGTCGGTGAGCTCCCGGGATCCGAACCCGGGCCGCCAGCAATGCAGCGCGTGCACTTAACCACTAAGCCATGGGGCCGGCCCTGCAATAGATGTTAGCTCAGAGCCGGTCTTCCTCAGCAAAAAGAGGATTAGCACGGATGTTAGCTCAGGGCTGATCTTCCTCACCAAAAAAAATAAAAGACGACCTTACACCTCAGTGCCAACTGGAGCCAGGCCCTCAGGAAGAGGGCACGGCAAGAATCGGGAGAGGCTGGCTCTCCTCCTCAGAGCACCCTCAAGGTGCGAGAGCCTTCCTGTCCAGCCCCTCCAGCTCTGCGCCTCTGACTGCGCTCGTCCTGCGCCTGGAGCGGGCACAGAGGAAGGACAGGTTACAGTTAAGGGTGGAAGTTTCAGCACCTCAGCACCATGGAGACTCTTCCTAAAGCAGATCTGACCAAGCCCAGGACTGTGGGGTGGCATCATCTCCTTTCCAAACCCCCCCTACTCTCTAAACACTATCCTCCTCCACCTGACAGACAAGGCCTTGCTCTCCCCAGCCTGCATCTACCTCGGTGAGTGACCACGAGGTGTGAACATCTCTGGGACACCGTGAGTGAAGCCAACTCTGATTAGAGCACAGAACTCCCACCCTCCTTATCACTACGAGGTGTACTTTCAAGTACATTTTCTGTTAGTTTAACAGCTATTTGTCAAAACCTATAACATATTTGTGTTGTTTTGGTCAACTATATACTGCTCATAACTGCAATAAAACATGTTCTCTAGATCAAGTTAAGTTCTTAAGATTTCAGGGAAAAAATTTCAATATATTCACGTTTCTGATGCAGAGATACGTGTTAAGAAAAAAATAAAAGACTTGCACGTATAAAAATATTAGGACAAAATTATGGGGTGACATGGGATGGAAATACAATTTAAAGGAGAAATGGGAATGTGACACTTCCAACTACTAAAGAACATATTTTTAATGAGGATGGTAGTGGACACCACCAAGTCGTTATTTAAATTCTACTGGCTACATATAAAATATTTTGATATCTTTTATGCCCATAAAAACTTTTATGAAAAAATTTCCAATTTAAGAATGTGTAACAAAGTGTGTCAGGTTTCAAAACTCTATTGGGAACACTGGAACAAAACGTTTCAATACCAGCGGTTGAGAACAGCCCGGCTCCCTCTCCTATCGCAGAGCTCTGCCACCTGCTACTCCGCCCTGGGGGCACACAGGGCTATCAGTCCTGATTATCCTCCAGTGCCATATGCCTGTCCTACCACCAGACTTCGGGTGTCTGGAGGGAAGGCCTGCATATTGCCCAACATCCCAACCCAGCAGTCCCAGTATGCAGCAGGGAAGACTCCGTCAGTTTGAAGAACGACAATTCAAAGTATCTGAAACATGTTCACCCTCCTTCTCAGCATTCCATACCCAAGATGTCAAATTTTTTAGAGCCTAATCCAGAAAAACAAGGAGCCTTGAGGAAGGGACAGACGTGGCCAGGGATAGAGGTGGGCTATCAGACAAACCCCATCAGGGCTGGCCCTATGGCCTAGTGGTTAAGTTTGGCGCGCTCCGCTTCCGTGGCCCAGGTTCAGTTCCTGGGCGCCAACCTACACCACTCGTCGGCAGCCATGCTGTGACAGTAACCCATATACAAAACAGAGGAAGATTGCCACAGATGTTAGCTCACGGCGAATCTTCCTCAGCAAAAAAAAAAAAAAGAAAGAAAAAAGAAAAAGAAAAACCTCTTCACTTTTTCATCCTTCTGAGGCTCAAAAGCAAGGACCAGGATGTGAGATCTTCTGTCTAGCCTAAGCACTCTCCACACATCTGTCGCCTCTGTCCAAGGAGAAAAACTAGAGGCTTCTGGTTCTTTCCCATCTCCAAAAATAAGTTATTTCAGAGACGTGTGAGAGCTGTCTGTACCCTGAGACTAGACTCAGCCATCTTCTTCTGAACAAGGCGTGCAGACTAAATAAACACCCAAGGCCCCTTTGGATTCTGAGATCTTAGGTCTCTTGTGGGAACAAAGTGATGAAATTTGAGTATTTCACTAAAAAACTCAAGACATGTTCTTAGAGAGGATTAGAACACAAGGGTTTCTAGAAATAAAGAAATGTAAAGACCATCACGAGACTTCTCAGGTTTCTCCAGAAACACAATACGTTACCGTACCCTCAACTGATCAAGCTTCTCGCGGATCTGAATGAACCCTAAGTGTAATTTGCCCCCGAAGTGGTCTGCAAGACGACGGTCATTGTCATGGAGACCAAGGTAGGCTGAACAGACCTCGCAGACTCGCAGCTTCTGCTGTTGGAAACTGGACGCAGGCATGGAATTCCTGTACTCTTCCTGGAGAACGGGAATAGAGCAATGATAGTGAGCTAGGCAGAACTGCCACCAAATATTTGATCCCCAAAAAGGAAACAGCTGAAAAGACTACAGAGGTTACTTTTAAATAAATAAAAACTAGATTGTTTACAAAGCCTCAGGTTTTTGTAATCAATTCAATTTAGAATCAACTAACAGACATGGTTTCGATGCCACAAAGAATTCAAAACACGCAGACAAGCAGGATGCTGTGTGTTCCCAGAGGCCGGCAGGGAAGACAGGTCTCTGCTATGCACAGTGGAGAGCTCTGTGAGGACCAGAGAAGCAAGAAGGGAGAATCTTCCAACAGGGGCCTTCAAAAAAAACACAAATCAAATAAACAAGCAAAACACACAGCTATCCATGGAGACTGTGTCCCAATGTCCAGGACACTGTATCCCAAAGCAGCCCCAAAAGTTAAAGTTTGGATGGACAAATACATTAGAGACTCTCTTCAAAGGAGAAAGTTTGCACAACAGAATGGAACAAAAGACACTCCCTCCTACAGCCTCCACGGTCCGAGTGCAACCACAAGAACCCACTTGCTCAGCCTCAAGGCATAATACTCGCAATACACAGGCAAACAAGCAGGAAATGGTTGACTGCTGCTTGGGCTCAAGTTAAAGATGCGCCTTCAAAGCCCAGGTTTAAGAAATGCCTTCCGGGCCAGCCCGGTGGCCTAGCAGTTAAGTGTGTGCACTTCACTACTGGCGGCCCAGGTTTGGATCCCAGGCGCACACCGACACACCGCTTCTCCGGCCATGCCGAGGCCACGTCCCACGTACAGCAACTAGAAGTATGTGCAACTATGACATACAACTATCTACTGGGGCTTGGGGGAAAAAAAAGGAGGAGGATTGGCAACAGATGTTAGCTCAGAGCCAGTCTTCCTCAGCAAAAAGAGGAGGATTGGCATGGGTGTTAGCTCAGGGCTGATCTTCCTCTCACACACACACAAAAAAACTGCAAACAGAGCTGTGAAAAATAAGTCCAACAAAATCTGCCTTTAAAAAAAAAAAAAAAGAAATGCATTCCAATAGTCATTCATCCTTATTTAAAGGAGACCTGAATCAGGGCCGGCCCCGTGGCTTAGCGGTTAAGTGCGCGCACTCCGCTGCTGGGGGCCCGGGTTCAGATCCCGGGTGCACACCGACGCACCACTTCTCTGGTCATGCTGAGGCCACGTCCCACATACAGCAACTAGAAGGATGTGCAACTATGACATACAACTATCTACTGGGGCTTAGGGGAGAAAAGGGGAGAAAAAAGGAGGAGGATTGGCAATAGATGTTAGCTCAGAGCCGGTCTTCCTCAGCAAAAAGAGGAGGATTGGCATGGATGTTAGCTCAGGGCTGATCTTCCTCACAATAAATAAATAAATAAATAAATAAATAAATAAAGGAGCCCTGAATCTAAGTACGCTCCCACTAACTCACACATTCAAAACATTCCCTACAAAATGCAAATTAAAAGAAGATACCACGCCACTCTCACTAAACTGGCAAAGACACAGAAAAACAGGCACTCTCACACTGCTAGTAGAAGCCTACATTGCTAAACAATTAACGTGGAGGCAATTTATAATCTATCTGTGACAGCGGAACATGTATGCACCATTACCAGAAACTCTCCTTCCAGGTGTCTGTCCCAGAAAACTCTCACACACGCACCAGCAGACGGGCGCAAGGACACTCATTGTGGAACTGTCTGTAAAGACGAGAAACCACCAATAACCTAGAAAACCACCAGTGGACAGTCATGTGTTCATCAGACGGACTCCTACAGCAGTAGACTGATGGAGCAGATCCATATGTAGCAACCTGGGGACATCTCAACACCACACTGAGGGAAAAAAGCGAGCGGAGACCAGACTGCACAGAGGGCAGCACCGACGGAGGATTCTTCAAATGCACAGAGCACAACACACACACACTCTCTCTCATGGGCACACACGTGTCATCAAGTATGGGACAGGACTGAAGATTATGTGGAATGCACACGTATGCCTGCCTCTGGGGACGGAGATAGATAACTGAGATTAGTGAGGGGAAACACTGGGAACTTGAATTTCCCTTATAATATGCTACATCTTTTATTAAAAGAAAAAAAAAACAAAAAACCTTAAGCAAAAGTGATAAATGTGGTGGGTACACAGATATTTGTGATATTAGTCTGTCCCTTTCTGTAGTTTTGAAACTTTGAATGCCACCCTCTAATATCTTTCAAAATAAATTCTCAGGGGCCGGCCCCGTGGCTTAGCGGTTAAGTGTGCGTGCTCCGCTACTGGCGGCCCAGGTTCGGTTCCCAGGCGCGCACCGATGCACCGCTTCTCCAGCCATGCTGAGGCCGCGTCCCACATACAGCAACTAGAAGGATGTGCAACTATGACATACAACTATCTACTGGGGCGTTGGGGGGAAAAAAAAAGGAGGAGGATTGGCAACAGATGTTAGCTCAGAGCCGGTCTTCCTCAGCAAAAAGGGGAGGATTGGCATGGATGTTAGCTCAGGGCTGATCTTCCTCACACACACACACACACACACACTAAATAAACAAACAAACAAACAATGAGATTTGTACTGTGAATTCTTTTCTCTTCTCTCTCCTTTAGGTTCAAAAATGGATTACACCGTCTACAAATGTCACTGAGGAGGGTGCTGGTCTGCCAGGGGCGGGAAGCACTATCTCAGCCCCATGTTCTGACAAGCGAGTTGACCTTAACTCCGGCCCACATTGGCCCATGGAAGGCAGTCCACAAGGCCCCACCTTGAGTAACCCTACAGCTCTGTCTCTTGTCTCTGCCTCAGCGGGCACTGCGCTAACACACACACCCGCTGGCACTACACATGCATTCAGTTAGTTACTACTGAGCTCCAGACACCATGGCGAGCGGCGGGTACAGTGATGACCCAAACCAGGCCTGCCCCAGGGTCTCCTCATCTCCACCCAGCTTCCCTGTCCCTACCATTCTGATAACCTTCTCAGTCTGTGGGTCTCAGCAAAGGGGCATGCCAGGGTCACCCTACCCTACCTGGAGACCCCCTGCAACCCAAAGTCACTCTCAAACTCAGACTCCATTTCTTTTGAGCACCTACCTTATCTGAACGAATCTTATCCATCTGTTCACATTCCCTTCTTTCTGCACCTCTCCCCACTCCAACACCCTCTTCATGAGGAGGGCCTCTGCTGGCTTGCTCACAACTAGAAAAGTGCCTGGCACACAGCTAGAGCTGAGTGAGCATTTACTAAAGGAACAGACCAACCACTGTCTCCCTCTGCCCCTACCATTTCTAACATTCTCGAAGCCTACAGGAGCCACCTCCAATTCCTGCGGTGAGGATCTGAGAACTAGAGGGTCTCCACCGAATATAATAACCTAGGAAGAAAACGACTGTCCTTCACTCAGTTTCTCCACCACACTGCCAGTGCATCCTGGCCTGGTGCCCCAGTTGACACCACCTGGATGCTACCCCTAATCCACACAGGGTCTCTCTACAGGTTTCATTCTTTACAGCAATCTGCATACAATTCTGGCTCAGTCACACAAGCTGAATAACCACAGCCCACCAACTCCCTAGGGAGCCAGAGGAACAGAGAGCAACACAGGTCTCTAGGGGACCTGTGACAGGAGGTGCTCACTACTACACTACTACACTGTGTCTACGATACGCAGGACTGTGCTCTACACATGGGAATTATGCTCAGGGCCGGCAAGCGACTGGTCTGACGTCACAAAGGGGTCCCAGAGAGCAGAGCAAAGATACAAACCGAAGTGTGTATCAACTCTAAATTCTGTGATCCTGCCAATATACCCAATTTCCAACTCCTTCCCAATATTCAAAATATCCCAATATTCAAAAAATGGAGGAATGGCTTAATTTTAGCCCAAATGGTCAACTCTCTAGAGTTACTAAGTTTCCTCTTTCTCTAAGACGTTTTTCTCACCAACCTCAGCTTCCTTTTTCTTTGTGCGGACTTTCTCCACTTCCATAAGAATCTTCTGGGATTCATCCACATTCCCTTCGGCTCCTAGCTGCTCAGCTTTAGCAAGAAGTTTCCCTATTTCTTCATTCAATTCATGCACTTTTTCTGCCTAGGGGAGAAACAAACAATCAGATAAGCATTCATCTAAAAACCAAAGAATTTTAATGCCAAGTAAATGAGCGTTTCTCTTGTTGCATTTCTGGTCTGTTACACTGAAAATAAACTGAACATCCCAAGACCCTGGCTGTACCACACGCGGACTGTAACAACTATGACATCCTATTGCCATCACTGAGACTCTTACCGTAAACTAAACCTACGCACCGCGTTCTAATTAAAACAGTAGCATCTCTCACTTCCAAAATGGTTGCAAGGATGATCATGTTGGTCATTTTCTAGGCTGTCTCTTTTTATGTCCCCTCTCTCAGTTCAATCTTCTGGGTAGGGGTAATAAAACGTCTAGGTTTAAATGCATAAACTGGGGCCGGCCCAATGGTGCAGCGGTTAAGTGCACGCCCTCCGCTCCGGCAGCCAGGGGTTTGCCAGTTCGGATCCCGGGCGTGCACAGACTCACCGCTTGTCAAGCTATGCTGTGGTGGCGTCCCACATAAAGTGGCAGAAGATGGGCACGGATGTTAGCCCAGAGCCAATCTTCCTCAGCAAAAAAGAGGAGGATTGGCATCGGATGTTAGCTCAGGGCTGATCTTCCTCACATACACACAAAAAATAAATAAAAATATAAATGCATAAACTTATACTGTTAGCAAAATGCCTAATTATTGGGATTTACTTTCAGAAATAAAACAACACCTTTGCTCCAGTTAACAATTGCATGTATCCTAAGAAGCACTTTTACAAAACTAAAAGGAGACAAGAATGAAGAGACTCGGCTCCACCAGAGGGGGCACAGAATAGGAAGGCAGCTGACACTCAGGCCAATTCACACCAATCAACCTCCTTCATTCCACGACATGAATGCTCCACAGTTTAACGAACTCCCTAATTTTTCCCCATTTCCTGTTTTATGTGGGGATGTAAAAAAACAAAATTTAAAAAACATGTACGGTGGGAGGAGGGACAGAGGTAGTAGCTCCTGGGGACTAAGAGCGGGCTGACAGCCTTCCCTCCTTCCTAGGAATACCCAAGGTGGTGAGTACTGTCCACCCCAGAGATACAAAAGCAGGCCTTATGGCGACCTGTTAGCCTGTCGGCAGCCCAGTTTCTACAAGACAGTAATTGGTACCAAAAACTTGAGGCGAAAGCCTCCCAGGCGAACCTTTGCAGACACTTCCGCACTGATCTCCTCCTGCGTCTCTGCCAGCCGCTTCTTGGCAAGCTCAGTTCTCCGATCACACTCAGCGATAAAGGACTCCAAATGATCCATCGCCTAGCTCAGGAGAAGCAGAGAGCTATGATCAATTACGTGTACCGTCTCGGAACCCATTGGTTTGATAGGAAATACACTCCTGGGTTGGTTTCTTAAAGCCTGTAGGTTGAGTGGGAAGATCTTAAACTATACTACAGCCAACACATCCATAATCACATTAAATCAAGGGGCTTTGTTAAACCAAATCATCATTCAGAAGCATGGTCTTCTCATCTGATTTATTTATTTTCAAAATTTGTAAAAGGACCCCCAACCCTCAGTAACATTTCCAAGAAAATTTTGAGGAAAATTACAACACTTGGCCATAATGAGCAGTGTTCTGAAACTATTGTTGGAGCCCTCTTCTGGTGAGTGGTGGGAGGTGCAGATGATGTACTCACTGGTCTTTGTGAGCCACGTAAATATTATTCCCTCAGTGCTGAGGGTAGAGTTCCCCCTTCCACCTCAAAACAAAACAATAGAAAAAGATTACTGAGAGCTGTCAATACGTTCAGTTATTGCCTACTGTCTAACGTAGCAGGAAAACGGGTTACTACTTACCCAAAGAGATAAAGGAAAATAAACTCTAGAAATCTAATTGCTTACTCTGAAAAGAGTTGGTGGTAAACAACAATACACAAATTAATAAGCTGTCACATAAGCTAAGCAGTTTATCTGCCATAACTAGTCAAAGGCCCCAACATAACTTCACATAAACATACAAACAGGACATCACTTTTCCAACTGTCAGGCTATGGCCAGCACCCACGCGTCAGCTTGCTCATGTTGGCATCATGTTAAGTATGACAGCAAGTGATTTTATAGCAGTGGATGAGAGGATTAGTATGATTCACCACAAAAAAGAGAGAAAATTTTGGGCAGAGATGGTAATAACGCAGGTCAAAGTTACGTCAACAGACCAAGTGGTGATTATCCATGTCCCCTACCCCACCCCCACCCCCACGATGGCCAGGAAAGAGGAGGTCAGCTGTCAGGAAAGCACTCCACAAGGGTCAGCATGACACTTGAACGGACAGTAGGGACACTGGAGAGGATTACAGTCACTTGCAGAAATCCTAAATACTCTTCAAATAAATGCACCTTTGGGAGTAGGTCAAGACAGGGAAGAGGCTCTGTGATGGTGCCAAGTCCACCAGGGACACTGGAGAAAGACTAAAGCATCATCATCCACTGAGCCCAACTCCCAGATTTCACTCCACAATTTTGGAATTCAGGACCTTTCCTGTCGTTGGTCATCCAAATATACTCTGATAAACATTTCACTATGTTCAAATCAATCAGAAAAGCAAATGATTGGTATTTGCTTGCCTGCAAGCACTGTACTTCCTGGAAAGATGTCGAGTTGACCAGCTCTGCTGACAGCATCGGGACTCACCAGGAAGGAAGTGCCAGTGTACAGGCCACGCACCACCTGTGCTCACCTGGGACGACAGCTCCTAACAGACCAGCCTGAGATGGCCAGGTTCACCCACACATAGGCACCGAGACTCTGGTGTGGAGTCCTCTACTGTGTGCCCAAAGAGAGCGCTCTCACAGCTGAGACAGACCCAGGGCCCCACTCGTCAGGCTCAAGTGGGAAACAGACACCTGACACCCTGCCCGTACCTTTACCAATCAAAGCAACTGCCTGTATCTTAAGCAGAATCCAAATTGGCTACAGATTCAGGCAGCTGATAAGCTAAAAACTAAATGGTAAACTTCATCACACAGAATAGGCAGACCGCAGAGATGTCTTTTAACTGCCACATTCTTTAAAGGATGGCTCTGCATCCTACTGCCCTTTCTTCTTCAATGTGCTTCTCAATTTCGGGTTGGTTCCTAAATCAAAGAGCAGGGTTAAATGATTAAAAAGAAAGGTAATTGAGGGGGTGGCCTGGTGGCCTAGTGGTTAAGTATGGCCGACTCCGCTACGGTGGCCATTCAGTTCTCAGGTGCAGACCTATATCACCTGCCAGCAGCCAGGCTGTGGCAGTGACCCACATAGAAAATAGAGGAAGACTGGCAACAGACATTAGCTCAGGGCGAATCTTCCTCACCAAAAAAACAAAAAAAACAGGTAATCAAGCCTAAAAATTAAGTCGTAATCACAACCTACCACTTACTAGAAAGTCATCCAACTTCTATAACTCAAGGGTGGTGTGATAGAACATGAACCACTAAGGGTCCCTGAGCACTGTGCTGGTACACAGGTCTCACCACACACGCAAGACTGCCTGCTGTCTGCTGCTGTTCCTGACTCTGCCCAGCAGCAGCAGTGACACCGAATGGCAGTGAGCTGAGACAAGCCCTTGCGGTGAGCAAAACAGTCACAGCAGACAGGTGCCCCTGTACTGTGCTGCGTGTCCACACGTGCCTCAAAACAGCTGCACAGCCACTCTTAACGCCTCCACTTCCCAGATGAAGAAACTGAGGTACAGTTTCCAAACTACTAAGTGATGGTGTCAGGATGCAAGGACCCTTGTGGTTTGGCTCCAAAGTCCCTGAACTTAATCCTCACAACTCTGAGGCAGTTATCACCAGCCCCGTGTACAGATGAATAGAAAAGGGTGAAATAACTTGCCCAGGTCACACAGGGATCCTAACCCAGGATGTCTGACTTAGAAGAACGTAACTATTACGCTGTACCTCTCTCAGATAGAAAAACTAGGTATACTCAGAACTGGTCTCATCTAGTATATTAAACACAGTTTGGAAATTAGTTGATATGGTGTGTTGTTCTGGAAACCTGTCAAATAAAACATCACAAAAGACAATGTAGGGAAAAGGTTAACTGTATTTTTACCGAATTACAGAGAAACAGTCTTTCCATTTTCAACACGTGAACACTAAAGAAATATACTGCTCCATAGCTTCCCTGTAAGTTACTGAGTTAATATAGCTGTTTGTTTGCTAGCGTGCAAGTTCAGAAACTTGAAATGTATTTATATAGATTACCTTACTCTTTCCTACGGACTTTCTGGATAAAACACTCTCAAGAAATCAAGGCCTGGTCCTGGCGTGGTCAGGCTGAGGCTGTGTTTGGCTAGAAGGAGCCAAGTGTGAGGATCAGGAGGCACCTTCTCCCAGATAAAACCCCTGTGTTTTGGGTGGATCCTCGGTGCGCCAGAGGCCCCACTCATCAAGCTCAAGCTGAGGGTCTAGGCAAAGAATACCAACACAAAGAAGCGCACAGCCCTGTCAGACCCACAAATAAACAGCTTGTTACACCTCTCTGACAGGCAAAGACCCAAAAGTTTGGTAACTCACTCTATTAGGGAAGACGAGAAAATGGGAACTCACATACACGGCCAGGGGAGCATTCACCCCTCTGGAGTGTTCTCTATGGCATGTCTATCAAAACGAGCAATGCATATGCCCTGAAGTTCCGCTTCAAGACTGGAAACAGATGTTAGCTCAGGGCGACTCTTCCTCAAGCAAAAAGAGGAAGATGGACAACAGAGGTTAGCTCAGGGTGAACCTTCCTCAGCAATAAAAACACAAAAACCTTTTTGAGACAATCTGGGAAATGTGAACACTATCAGATGATGTTAAAAAATTAGTTTTAAAATTATGATTATTTTTAATAAAGTTCTTATCTTCTGGATACACTATTTGTAGTATTTACAGATGAATTTCTACGTCTAGGAGCTACTGTAAAATAATCCAGTGGGGAAAGACAGGATAAAGATGAAACAAGAGGGGCCGGCCCCGTGGCTTAGCGGTTGAGTGTGCGCGCTCCACTACTGGCGGCCCAGGTTCGGATCCCAGGCGCGCACCGATGCACCGCTTTGTCCGGCCATGCTGAGGCCGCGTCCCACATACAGCAACTAGAAGGATGTGCAGCTATGACATACAACTGTCTACTGGGGCTTTGGGGAGAAAAAGGGAAAAAAAGGAGGAGGACTGGCAACAGATATTAGCTCAGGGCCGGTGTTCCTCAGCAAAAAGAGGAGGATTAGCATGGATATTAGCTCAGGGCTGATCTTCCTCACAAAAAAAAGGTGAAACGAGTCTTCATGTCAATAATCACTGAAAACTGGGAGATAAAATCTGCAGATTTCATTATATTATTCTGTTCACTTCAGTACGTTTAAAGTCTTCCTTAGGGGCCGGCCCAGTGGCGCAAGCGATTAAGTGCACGCGCTCTACTGCAGCAGCCCGGGGTTCGCCGGTTCGGATCCCGGGCGTGCACCGATGCACTGCTTGGCAAGCCATGCTGTGGCAGTATCCCATATAAGGTGGAGGAAGATGGGCACCGATGTTAGCCCAGGGCCAGTCTTCCTCAGCAAAAAAAAAAAAAAAAAAAAAAGAGGATTGGCAGATGTTAGCACAGGGCTGATCTCCTCACAAAAAATAAATAAATAAAAAATAAAGTTTCCCTTAAAACATGCTAAGTAGATCCTGTCACAACCAAGTACAGTACCAGATCTCTATAGGCACAGGAGAGAGAACTTCAAAAGCTAATGACAATGGTGAAATATTTACAGATGAAACAACAGGACGTGTGAGGTTTTGAGGTTTGTGAGAAAAGTGTGGACAAAGATGAAACACAGGTGGTCATGAGGTGATGCTTCCTGAAGCTGAGTAATGGGTACATGGAGATTCATTACACTATTACATCTACTTTTGATGTTTGAGATTCTCCACAATAAAAAGTAAAAAAAAAAAAATCCTTAGTAAGTCAATCTTTCTTAGCCTTTTTTTGTAGAAAAATATTCCATTTAATCATAGCTTTAAACTGTTAACAAGCTCTATGAGCATAACTCCCTACCTCCTTTTTGCCAGCAGAGCCTCAGAATTCTGACTAGAGCCGATCCCTGAACTGGCACTGACAGGCTCCCAGCTCTGAAACAGTTTGTTAAAAAGCTGATCCACCAAGGTCAGCTCATGGCATTTTCGAAGCAAGCTGCTACTTTTAACAAGTGTTTGCTTCCTTGCATTTTAAAGCAGTAAGTGAGGGACTGCCTCTAGGGAGCAGAAAGTGCCCAAGGAAGAAGGGCTGTAGGGGTTTTCCATCATAGCCTCTCCGTACTTTAAAAGCCAGGTCATTGACTTCTGATTAAGCAACACACGTTCAATGAGAGCACATAAAACAGTTTAGAGTTGAAATCTCCAGCACACACAACCTTTGTCTTGTGTGTCTTGTGTGTTTGTACCTTTGTCTTGCTCGTGATAGCATAAGCCACTGTAAGTTGTTAAACAGGTTTCATAAACATTAGTTTCAGAGGCACAGTCTACAAGATGAGCACATCACAAGGTGCCCATTCACTTCCCTCTTCTTGAGCATTCTCACTGCGTCCAATGTTTTTATCTTACAAACAATCCTACCACAAACATCTTTGTGTACTGATGTTTGCCTGTATTTCCAATTACTTCCTTAGGATGAAGATTTGTAGAAATAAGTCACAAGATAGAAATACTTTCAAATTTTCATTTCTGGGGGCCGGCCCCGTGGCTTAGCAGTTAAGTGTGCGCGCACCGCTACTGGTGGCCCGGGTTCGGATCCGGACGCGCACCAACGCACCGCTTGTCTGGCCATGCTGACGTGGCGTCCCACATACAGCAACTAGAAGAATGTGCAACTATTACATACAACTATCTACTGGGGCTTTGGGGAGAAAAAGGGAAAAAAAAAAGGAGGAGGATTGGCAATAGATGTTAGCTCAGGGCCGGTCTTCCACAGGAAACAGAGGAGGATCGGCATGAATGTTAGATCAGGGCTGATCTTCCTCACACACACAAAAAAGACCTCCTAAATATCCCTGATTGATCCATTGGATGAAATCTGATTTCCCTCCCACTGTCACATGATGCTGCTTCCATTAATTCTGGCAAGTAACATGAAACTTACAGCACCTTCAGAGACTTTGGAGATAAACAGTTGGCCCATCTCACAGAATTATTACCAACAATGAGGAGATGCTACCAAAACACCTGGTAGGCTACACAAATATATGTTATTAAGAAAACTCAGGGGGCCAGCCACGTGGCTTAGCGGTTAAGTGCACGCGCTCCGCTACTGGCGGCCCGGGTTCAGATCCCGGGTGCGCACCAACACACTGCTTCTCTGGCCATGCTGAGGCAGCGTCCCATATACAGCAACTAGAAGGATGTGCAACTATGATGTACAACTATCTACTGGGGCTTTGGGGAAAAAAAAAAAAGGAGGAGGATTGGCAGTAGACGTTAGCTCAGAGCCGGTCTTCCTCAGCAAAAACAGGAGGATTAGCATGGATGTTGGCTCAGGGCTGATCTTCCTCACACACAAAAAAAAAACTCAGGGGCGGGCGCCATGGTATAGTGGTTAAGTCCAGCATGCTCTGCTTCACTGGCCCAGGTTCACAGGTTCGGATCCCTGGCCCAGACCTACACCACTGTCAAGCCATGTTGTGGCAGTGACACACATACAAAATAGAGGAAGATGGGCACAGATGCTAGCTCAGAGCAAATTGTCCTCACCAAAAAAAAAAAGAAAAATCAGAACAAATCATGGATTAGTGATGGCTCACAACTTGTGAAAATGAAACCTGTGTCCATCTCCCAATAGTGGTGATCACACTGCAGCCCTTCCAGAAACCAACCTCAATATGGACATGTGGGAGCTGCTAGTCCCAAGCCGGGTCCCAAGCCCTCCACAGGCGATGTGGAGGCTGGAGGCCTAGTGCCAACAGCAGGTTATCAGGAGGCAACAGCAGGTCAAGGATAGCATGAGTTGGCCCACCCAACCACATCTGGCCAAAAAGCTTCTGAGGTGTTCTGTTTATCACATTGCCATTTTGACAAGAAAAAATCACAACTAGCCTTTCTAATAAACATATTCGTTCATTCTGAATAGACTATCTTTGAAAATACAAGTGACCTCCAGAGAGAGGTACTGGATGGCTGGTCACAAGGGCAGACTTTTCAGCAGACAGCCTTTCAGAACTCTGGAATCTGTAACAGTGAGCATATATTATCTACTGAAAAGATTTAAAAATTCATTTCTATCAAATTAATTTAACACCTATATTTTGGGCCGGCCCCATGGCTTAGCGGTTGAGTGCACGCGCTCCGCTGCTGGCGGCCCGGGTTCGGACCCCGGGCGCGTACCGACGCTCTGCTTCTCCCGCCATGCTGAGGCCGTGTCCCACGTACAGCAACTAGAAGGACGTGCAACTATGACATACAACTATCTACTGGGGCTTTGGGGAAAAAAAAGGAGGAGGACTGGCAATAGATGTTGGCTCAGAGCCAGTCTTCCTCAGCAAAAAGAGGACGATTAGCATGGATGTTAGCTCAGGGCTGATCTTCCTCACACACACAAAAAAACACATCTAGGGCCGGCCGGGTGGCGCAAGCAGTTAAGTGTGTGCGCTCCGCTACAGCGACCTGGGGTTCGCCGGTTCGGATCTCGGGCAGGCACTGGCACACTGCTTGGCAAGCCATGCTGTGGCTGCGTCCCATATAAAGTAGAGGAAGATGGGCATGGATGTTAGCCCACGGCCAGTCTTCCTTAGCAAAAAGAGGAGGATTGGCAGATGTTAGCTCAGGGCCGAGCTTCCTCACAAAAAAAAAAAAAAAAACACATCTATATTTTGAGAAAAGACTTTATTTTTCCTTCTAAGTTTTATTCTCTGTAAATAAGGAAACACAGAGTTATTTTAGCTTGGTATTTTAAAGTCAGGCCACTTTAACCTACTTTAATTATTAAAGTAACCCATGCACATCCAAAAACCACTGACATATATAAATTAAAAATTTAAAGGTAGGGTAAATTTTATGCCACGTGAATTATACCTTAAAGCCATTATCTAAAAAAATGTTTTAAGGTAAAATATCCCTCCCTAACACCCAGAGGTATCTGCTTAGAGCTTCATAAAGGATCATTCCGCTGTACAACAGGACCACAATTTATATAACCAGTCCCTCATTAATAAACTGTTTCATTATAGCCTTTCTTCCCTTTAAAAAAAAAGTTGCAATGAGCATCTTTTCTGTGTACTCATTTGCACATTTCCCTAAGATACATTCCCAGCAGCAGAGTTCTGGGATAAGTATATGCATTTCACATGCTAACAGTGCCCTGACAGACCGCTCTCCTACAAACACGGCTGTTCCAGGTTACCCTCCATTCTTCAGGGCAGGAGGACCTCTTCCACGTGTTTACAGCACTGGTTATCAAATAGTTTAATATGAGCCATCTGTAAGGTCAAAACTGATTTTTAAGGAGTTGAGGAGTGAGGTGGTTACCTTTTTAACTGAAAAAGTTAAATCCCGCATATGGTAAACTTTCACACAGTACAAAAAGATCTCTTGACTCGCTCTAGTCCTCCACCCAAGACAGGAGTGTTCATAATCTCTTAGGTTTCTCTAAAACTACTCTTTGCACATCTAAGCATGTCAACAAGTGTAAAATACCTTTTTTTTTTGTAAGGAAGATCAGCCCTGAGCTAACATCTGTGCCCATCTTCCTCCACTTTATATGGGACGCTGCCACAGCAAGGCCTGACAAGCGGCGCATCGGTGCGCGCCCAGGATCCGAACCCGGGCCACCAGCAGTGGAGCGCAAGCACTTAACCACTATGCCACAGGGCCAGCCCCACACCTTCCCTTTTTAAAAATACATTATGGAAGCATCATAGCACACTTTGCTTTTCCACTTAATTCATCCTGCAGATAACATGCACTGCAGATAACATGCAGTGCATCAACATGCACTGAAGGACCTCACCTCGCTTTCAGGGTGTACATCATTCCACTATAAAGGACAGCTACGATTTCACCAGTCCCTTACTGAGGAAGTCTACTTGGTTCCTGCTTTCTGCAGTTGTAATGCCGTAGGAACATTCTGGAGCAATTCATCTTCATACCTATGCAAGGGTATCGGTCCGAAAGACTCTCAGGACTGGCACTGCTGGAATGTGCTTTCACATAGAGACACTGCGTTATCCAGGAGATGTATCAGGATTATGTAACTCTCCACAGAACTAGATGCCCATTACGAAATGTTTTTTTCTGTCCCTTGCCCATTTTCTATTGAGCTATTGATACTCTTCTGTCAATCATGATGAATTTTACACATAAAGGAAACTAGCTCATCATATATACTGTAAATATTTTGTCCCAGTTGATTGTCTTATTTTATGCATGGGAATTTTTGATATGCTAATATTTTAAGTTTTTACATAGACAAAAGTATCCATCTTTCTCTTATAAGCATCTAGGCTTTATAACATCTCAAGATGACAAAACAAAATTCATTTTGGGGATCCAACTTGGTATTTTCCCAACTGGCTAATCCACAGTTTTCAGCACTATTCATTAAAAAAACAGATCTTCTCCACACTGTCTGAACACACACCTGTCATAACACACTAAATTACTGTATGTATTTCAGTCTCTTTCTGTAGTCTCAATCTCTTCTTATTAATCAAGTCTCTACCATTAATTAGGCTATTTAAAAAGTAAACTGACATTCTGATTTAGTAGAAATCTAAGATATGTGATGCAAAAAACAACACTACTAAAACTGAGATTTCAACCAATAATCTGTGTAACTATCAGTTTCTGAAACCGAATAGCCGAAGGTCACGGCCACTTTACATAAGCATTTTCAGGTAACTGAAGAATTAAAACTCACAGTATAGAAAATTTTTATTTCCAAGCCCCATCTGTTAGTTGAGCTGTTGCTAAAGGCATTTTTAGTTAATTCAAAGATTCAACACGAGAGCACACTGCTGTTAAAGAATGTATTTGAAAAAGAACTGTTAGAGGCTGGCCACGTGGCTTAGCAGTTAAGTGCGCGCGCTCTGCTACTGGCAGCCCGGGTTCGGATCCTGGGTGCGCACCGACGCACCGCTTGTCTGGCCATGCTGAGGCGGCATCCCACATACAGCAACTAGAAAGGATGTGCAACTGTGACACACAACAGTCTAGTGGGGCCTTGGGGAGAAAAAGGGAAAAAAAAGGAGGAGGATTGGCAATAGATGTTAGCTCAGGGCCAGTCTTCCTCAGCAAAAAAGAGAAGGACTGGCGTGGGTGTTAGCTCAGGGCTGATCTTCCTCACGAAAAAAAAAAAAAGAAAAGAAAAAGAACTGTTAATTTTAATCACTTTTTTTTTTTTTTTTTTTAAAGATTTCATTTATTTATTTTTCCCCAAAGCCCCAGTAGATAGCTGTGTGTCACAGCTGCACATCCTTCTAGTTGCTGTATGTGGGACGCGGCCCCAGCATGGCCAGAGAAGCAGCGCGTCGGTGCGAGCCCGGGATCCGAACCCGGGTCGCCAGCAGTGGAGCGCGCTCACTTAACCACCAAGCCACGGGGCCAGCCCCTTAATCACTTTTTAAGACTACTGATTTAAGTAGAATTTGCTCCAGCTACAATATATCCTCTAAACATCCTTTGGGGGGCAAAAATGCCTTTCCTTGGGTTTTTCCCTGGCTTCCTCACACCAAACTCAGTCCCTTCCCAGTCTTCACTCCAAAGCCTCAATGGCGGGCCGGCCCTGTGGCTTAGCGGTTAAGTGCGCGGGCTCTGCTGAGGGCGGCCCGGGTTCGGATCCCGGGTGCGCACCGACGCGCCACTTCTCCAGCCATGCTGAGGCCGTGTCCCACATACAGCAACTAGAAGGATGTGCAGCTGTGACATGCAGCTATCTACTGGGGCTTTGGGGGAAAAAATAAATAAATAAAGTTATAAAAAAAAACAAAAAAAAAACAAAGCCTCAATGGCATCAAACCCTTCCACTGAACCTCTGGTCACACCAGTGATGGAGGGTTAGGGAAAAGAAAAAATTACAATGGAGTGACTCTAAACCATGCATTCTCAGTGGGGGCAGGGGTGAAAACTGGTCTTAAAGGGTGAAAAAAAACCTTGGATATTACAATGGCTTGTGGCCTGGAAAGGATCACAGTATATGAACTGAAATGCTGGTTATCTGTACATCAAATTTTCATGGAAGAGAAGGGGAAAAATTAGGAAAAAAGGTCTAAAAAAGGTTACTTTGGGAAGCAATAATGAAAAAAAGTAGTAAAATGCCACTTTATAACTAATAAATTGCAAAAATTTAATTTTTTAATAATACCAAGTGATGGTGAGGATGCTATTGGGGCTTTAAATTGATATAGCCACCTTATCAAATAATAGAGAGAAAAAAGAAAAAGACAACACTACAGAACTATCTTGCAAGGATGAACACAGGCATCCTCTACAAGCCAGCAATTCCTCTCCTAGGTACAAACCCCAGATAAATCCCTATACACGCGCACCAAGAAGATATCCAAGAATATTCATAATACTGCTCGTAATAGCAAAAAACCCAGAATCAACCCAATTATCTATGAATAAAGAATGGACAGTTTGGGGAACACTCATGCACCAATGAAAACCAACAAACCTATACCCAACAAAATGGGTAAATAGAAACATAATACTGAACGAAAAAATTAAGTTATTAAAGACTTATCTACGCTATGAAACCATTTTTATAAGGCTTAAAAACAAGCAAGAACAAACAATGTTCAAGGAATCATAAAAACATCTAAAAATATGTAAATTTTAAAGGAAATGATACAAAATGCAGACTAGTGTTGGGGTGGTAAACACACAGGTAGACACAAAATGGTACTGGCCATGTTCTAGCTGTCAGCCAGACTGGTGGAATAACTATCTATTTTATCATTTTGCTTTATAACTTACATATGTTACAATATTCTTGTTAGTTCAATGTTTGGTTCTTCATAGTAGGGATGAATTAGCACCAAATAAAACTTACATCCAATTCAAAAAACAGGTCCCTTTCTTTACTTGCAATCTCATAGTCTGCTCGGAGGGCCAAGTCGTGGATTTTGGTACATTCTCCTAAATCCATGCGCTGTGAGAAAGAAACAAAAATTTACATGTGAATGTCTACCCATTGTAGAAAGCATATGACCTGATGTTCAACTATCACCAAAATAATACTTTTTTAAATACTAAACTATGATAAGAAAATTAAGAAACAGTATATAGCTAAGAAGCCTTATTTTTCTTTTACCACCAGGATCATATGATACTCAGAACAGATGCACTTAACAGTGTCCATATCGCTTTTAGACCCAGAGATAATCAGTCTAATAATGAAAATCACATTAACTAGCTTTTGCCAGTCATATTTTTGCATCAGTCACATAAGAAATGTCTATTCAGTGAATAGCAGCATGAGGAAAGGGAGAGTGGCAAGAAAAAAGCCAGAAAACAAGAGTATCACCGATAGCAACAAGTTTCCAGGCATTCCTTCTTGCAATCTTGACTACTCAAGATGCTCAATGCCTAAGTTGCAGACAAGAAAAGGAAAGAGCAGATAGAAATCAGGCTTTATGGGGCCGGCCCCATGGCTTAGCGGTTAAGTGCACGTGTCCCACTTGTCCAGCCATGCTGAGGCGGCGTCCCACATACAGCAACTAGAAGGATGTGCAACTATGACATACAACTATCTACCGCGGCTTTGGGGAGAAAAAGGGAAAAAAAGGAGGAGGATCGGCAATAGATGGTAGCTTAGGGCCGGTCTTCCTCAGCAAAAAGAGGAGGATGGGCATAGATGTTAGCTCAGGGCTGACCTTCCTCACAAAAAAAAGAAAGAAAGAAAGAAATCAGGCTTTGGCAATTACAACACAACCTACCACTTGGCTTTGTGTAGCTCTGTATATCAAAAGCAATAAAGCAGATTAGGCTGCTTCAGGGGCAAATGAATCCTCCAAACATTCACCTAACCTGGTAAATGACCCTGGACATATAACTGGGGACATAGAACTGGGCCACTCAGTTGCCACATATGAGACCAAAAGGCTCTTTTACTAAAACAAATGATCTGTGTTACCAGTTAAGATTAGCCTGATGTGCTATTACATGTTGTAGGCACACACAGAACGAGACAACACTGCCTATTTCTTATCTAAATCTTGAGTACAGGACTGTACTAAATAACAACAGGGAAGTCTACATGCTGAGGATCATGCTGTCAGGCCAGAGAGCGCAAGTTAACAAAACCTGACACCCCACTGAGGACCCCTCTGAGGTCCAAGCTACTGGACAAAGCACACGTCTACATAACCAGGAAGCAAAGAACGATGGCGTCCAGGAACTCCTTTGAGCTCAAACTACAACTGTGTTCAAAACTTCAGGGACTAAAAACTTCCCAGATTCTAAAATCCTTAACATTTTAGGCAAATTAGACTCATAGGGCCTGACTCACGGGTCCTTGTCTAACAGAAGGTACATGCCGTGCTCACTAAAAAAACATCCTTCAGTATCACCAGTGACAGAGCCCACACTGGGCTGCCTCATGTGGAGTTTATCTTCATTTTGACCAGATTGACTTTTGCATTTAAATGCTAAAACTCTTTTCTCCCTCATTATTCTTACTCTGAAGTCATGTAGCTCATGTATGTTGGTTACATGGGGGATCTAGAGGTAGAGCAAGAGTGGTTCTAGAAGCCAAAGTTGCAACTAGAATCACTGTCCATGCAAAGCTGACAACTTTGGCTTCATTCACTCTTTAAAGTACCAAATAACAGTTCTTTAAAATATATAGTTTCCACAAATGAAACTAAGCGCTATAGCTGAAAGATAAGTGGTAGCTATCAGAAATGCTTGAATGTTAACGAAGGCTATTGCTCAAAGAAAAACGACCAGGAGAAGCAAGCACTAAATCTTAAGCACTAAAATCTTTCTTTTGGGCCGGCCCCGTGGCTTAGCGGTTAAGTGGGCATGCTCTGCTACTGGCGGCCCAGGTTCGGATCCCGGGCACACACTGACGCACCGCTTCTCCGGCCATGCTGGGGCCGCGTCCCACATACAGCAACTAGAAGGATGTGCAACTATGACATACAACTATCTACCAGGGCTTTGGGGGAAAAATAAATAAATAAAATTATAAAATAAAATAAAATAAAATCTTTCTTTTGCTGAGGAAGACTGGCCCTGGGCTAACATCTGTGCCCATCTTCTTCTATTTTATATGGGACGCTGCCACAGCATGGCTTGACAAGCGGTGCATCGGTCCACGCCCAGGATCCGAGCCTGCGAACCCCGGGCCGCCAAAGTGGAGCGCGCGAACTCAACCGCTATGCCACTGGGCCGCCCCTAGTACTAAAATCTTAAGTGCAAATCAATTTCCATTCTAAAAACTTCAACTGTCAAGAAAGTTTTGAAATTACGGAACCACACATGAAGCAAGATTCACCGCTGTCCTCCTCTGCGTGAGAGCTCTCCAGCAGCCACTGAGAAGCAGGCGGGGGACAGGACTGGGTTCCACGGTCCCTCTCTGGATGTACCTTTCCAGCTTTGCCAAGGAGGCAGGGCAGTACTGGCCATTCCCCCTGGCAGCTAAACACCAAGCAGAACTGAAATACCCCATTCGTTAAGTCCTTCCAAAGCATTCCAGGTGGTTGTTAGATCCAGCATTATCAGAACTTCTCTACTGCACACACACCTGTGTTCTCTACCCTCTGGTGGCCTCACACTGCTGACAGCAAAGGGCACTAAAGGCTCCTTCCAGGACCTTCGGAAAACAAAGATCTTCCACTGAGACAAGTTACACTACCGTTCCTCCAGCTGTGTTCCTCTTCCAAACTTACTAATCAATAACACGTTTTTCCATTAAGTCTCAATAAAATTATGACTTCCATTCCACCTTGCCCCACCTCTACAAATGACAGCAGATGGTCTGGAGCAGCCCTTAGCAGGCTGAGGGTTATAACCACTTTCATCTTGCTGCTATATTCTAAAGAATTATATTCATTCCATTTCAATTTAACACAAAACACTACATTCACGGAGCCCACACCAGTGAGACTCAACATTTACAGGCATCTCCACCTGAATTCCCAACCCTGATCCTAATCAATCCTCAGCAGCCCCGACATTTGTTCATTTGCATCTTCACCCAAACATGGGTCTGCTAGGTTTCTTTCTCCTCCTCAGACCACTTCTTCTCAGATGTTCTTTGCTGAGCTGCCCCTGCCCAACCCCACACGGGAGGGACCCTGTTCTCATCACTCATTTGATTCCATAGCCTCTGCCTTCCTCACACCAGCCCAGACACACCAGTGGTATTCCTGCTGTCCTTCAGCTCCATCCTCCACCCAGAGTGTTATACCCCCAAATTGCACGTGTGTTCTTTCTCACCCTTCAGGTCTCTGCTCCAATGTCCCTGAGAGGCCTTTCCTTACCACCCTATCTAAAACAGTCCATTATCTATCCATTTATTATTTATTGTCTGTCCTCTTCCTGTTAGATGAGAAAAAGACTTACTGGTACCATATCTCCAGTGCCTGGCACAGAGTAGGTGTTCAATAAATATTTGGTAAATTAATCTATACCTAACACAATAAACATCTGTAGGAAATACCCTCATTCTGGGTATTTTTCTCATCAGCATTCCAGAACAATGCTACAGAGGGATCTGACCAAGAAAAACATGGTTGAAATGTTTCACTCTGTTGCACGTCCCTCTGCTCCCTTTGACTTCTTCCACTAAGACCTATCAACAATTCCTGGTTATGATGCCTCCTAGAGGAGCACCCTACAGCTGACCTGCTTATGACTAGTGGAAGTCATTAATTCACAGTGATGGCACCCACAACACTCTGCAGCAAACGGCTATTACAACGTTTTCCTATACCAGGTCAAACTGCAGGGAAAACCTCAGGTAGCAGATGCACAAGGTCTGGCATTCATTTCCTATTTGCTGCCAGAAGAGCCAGCTTAAGAAGATTTAATACATCTGAGTGGTTTCCCAGAGCTGCTCCCCCACCATGGTAATAATAAAAGGAACAATTAATCATGAAGAAAATACTCCCTAGTACATGCACATTTGACCCTTAAAATGAGTAGACAGTGTTTATATTCCATGATGCAGCTGTAAAATCTTAAAATGGTGATGGTATTTGTCAGACTCCTTTTCTAAAGCAGCTGAATCATGGCAGATAATCCTCCATTCTTTAGTCTTCTTAAATCCTACCTAATTTTCAATAAATGCACATTCTGCAAAACTAGCATTTATTTGTTTGGTTCATCTGAAGTGAACTTAAAATGTTAGGGGTCGGGCCGGCCCATGGCTTAGTGGTTAAGTGTGCGCGCTCCACTACTGGCCACCCGGGTTCAGATCCCAGGCGTGCACCGACGCACCGCTTCTCCGGCCATGCTGAGGCCGCGTCCCACATACAGCAACTAGAAGGACGTGCAACTATGACATACAACTATCTACTGGGGCTTTGGGGGAGAAAAAGGAGGAAGACTGGCAACAGATGTTAGCTCAAAGCCGGTCTTCCTCACACACACACACAAAAAAATGTTAGGGGTCTATATTCATTGGATTTTGTGTTGATTTCTTGAAAGGGTGGCATAACACAAAACTAGAAAATCAATGTTATTCCCAATTGATTTTTTAAAAACCTAAATATTTGAGGAAGAAATGTACCTTGCTAGATCAAAAGTCTAGCATATGTTTAACTTGCAAACAAACCAACCTTCCCAGAATCTTCAAAGAACTACAGGCTGACCTGAAGCATACTTTTTGCTATAGCCAAATGAGACTACTTGCACTACTTAGTTGCAAATATCTCAGAATAAATGACTCTACAAAAATCTGATCATTTTACAGATAGAATTTTACAGCAGTGAAATATGTTCCATAACATAAAATTCTACCAAACTAACAAAATCTATAATTTGAAGGGCAGAAGGAGATTTCTGCCTGGTAAAGGAAAACAGAATTCAACCTGAAAAAGCTTCACTGCCTACAAAGCACCCATGTCTGAGTGTTTGATGACGTCCCCCCTCAAATGCACCTACCGTCCCAGCCAGGATGTCATGGGGGCAGCAGTCCAGAAGGTGACTCTTGCAGACACGGTCATCTGTAAACTTGACCCTCTGTCTGGTTTCGTCTCCTGAAATTCATTTGTTGTTTTAAATAAGACAATATTATCACGTTAAGCACAAAAGCATATCGGGTACAACAATTCGCCTGGATGATTTGCAGACTACCAAATACACTGAAAAGCTGATCTAGGATATTTACGACTGGAGCGGAGATGTTTCTTGACGCTAAATATATCATGAAGAATCACACTTAATGAGATCTGACTCCGTCATTGTGTCAAAGAAGTCAAGGAGTCAGAAGTAAAAGGCTGAGCACCAAAAGGCCTTTAGCCCCACACATACATGTGAGCAATGAGATACCAAAACTCATGCTAATCAGAGGGCCATGAATCACCACATAGCACTTATAGCTGGTAGTTTCCACCAACAAAAGCTACTGCTTAATCTAATCATTTTGCCATGGACAAATATATAAGCAGTATTTTGCCCAAAATTACGTGACGAAGAAGGTTTCAAACTCTACTGCTGACTGATAAATAATCTAGACCTCGTCTTCCTGTCCCTCCTTCACCCCCACCCGTAAAAAGTGGTTGGCACCTGGGAGTCACTTTTAACAAGACAATACCAAAAAAAAGCAAAAAGGAACTAGGTTAGTCAATACACACTGTGAGTTCCAACACATACTGTACCCATCTGCATTCTTCAAGACCTCAGCTGCAGAATTTTATGCCCGCTGTTGAAAAGTTTTAAAGGAAAAGTTTTCTTGCCCAACCTGCAGTAAGGAAGTCAGGGGAATGATACATAAAAGTAAAGGCAAAGTGGAATGTGACAAATTTTAAAGCTAATCTGTGTATATGACACAGAGCTGTGAAATACTAAAGGAGGAATATACTTTAGGATTTGCAAGCATCCAGGATTAATGTAGTGTCTTTTTATTGAAAATGTTTTCTTTCTAAACTACACTTTTAAAGTTACTTGTGGAAAAAAAGCAAACACTTTTTTGTTATAACAGCTTAGAAATTGGTTGTGACTCACGGCTCGATGAACATGAGGCTTTTCTGCAACTCCCTTGCAGATTGATGTAGGCAGGCAAAGATACACTGAACCTTTATAAATAAAATAGAGGGGCCACAATTGTTCAGTTTGTATGAAATAAAAATATGGGAAGCAATTCAAAAGCAACTCAATATACAAAGAAAGCTAAAAAGCACTTATTCACCTATGAAATAAAGTGCAAAGAATCTGCACAGCCCTACGATAGTGCCAGTGTGAACTTACAACTTCATTACTTCAGCAGAAAAGAAAACACGAACCACAGCACGTGTATAGTTTTGCAAAGATGCAATAGCTTTCTCCCGAGACAACCATCATGATCTTGCGCTCCTCCCTACAGTACAACCTACCTAACGACTGCCAAGCGCTGGCTACAGAGGCTCTCCTGTGCGGCTGGGGGAAAGGGACTGGAAAAGCACCGGGCAGGAACCCACGTTAGAAAAGCTCCATCTACGGCTCCCCTCGCAATGGTGCCGAGCAAGAACGGCCGGGGTTTCGAGGCCCATCCGGCTCCCTCGGGTGCAGCTTCTCCCCCGAGGAGCCTCGGAGGAGCTCCGCCACCCGGCGGCCAGCTACCCGGAGCCCGCGCGGCTCCAGCCCTTCGCCGACTGCCCGGTTCGCGGATCGCCGCGGGGCCGCGGGGGACGAGATCGCAGGGTGGCAAAGGGGAAGGAGCCGAAGCCCACCGACGGCGCGGGCGCCCGGTGAGAAGCCAGAGGCGGCCGCCTCCGAGGCGAGCTGGCTCAGACAAAGGCCCGGCGCCTGCGGTCTGCGCGCGGGGGAGAGAGGGCGCCCGGCGCAAGCGCAGACGGTCGCGGTCCCCGCTCAGGCCGCCCGGCGGCCTCGCCTCGCTCCCACCCAGCCCCTCGCCTGGCCGGCCGCTCCGACTCACCATCCCGGGCCGTGCCCATGAGCTGGTCCAGCAGGGCCCGCATCTGCGCCTGAGCGGACATGGCGGCCGGCGGGAGCGGCGGGGACGGCGCGAAGGCTTCTCTCAGCACGTCGGCGGCAACGACGAAGGCTGCTGGCGTCCGCCTCGAGCTTGCTCGGCTCCTTCGGCTCCTTCCCGCCGCGGTGGACGCCGGGAGGAAGTGCGTCAGCGCCGGCCTTTGGCCTGCTGGGAAATGTAGTTTCTGCAGCGATGTGGGGTGCTGAATTGGGCGCTGGAAGAGACTGAGGCTCCAGTGGTTCGAGCAAGTTGTCCAAAGGGCGGAGCCAAAGTCCCAACCCTGATTTTACCCTAGAGCCCAAGACCTATATGCTCTACCGAGGCTAAAATGCAATAAAATAAAATAAAATAGATAATCCAAAACAAGAAAAGAAATCCTGTGTGTTTTCTTGCTAGTCATGAAACTGTGAACATATCATTATAGATACTCTCAGACTCTGAAATGAGGATTCTAATGGTGCCTGTGACATGGTTTTTGTGAAAGTTAAATCAAGCATGGAATTAATTTCAGGTTCTGTGATTATTACTTCGTGGTAGTCCCTCTGTGAGCTCATAGTCTGCCATGCACCAAGGCTGTCCAGCCCTAGCCACATCAGAGAACGCTTGATTGGTACTCCCTTGTGAGTAGAGCAGCCAACCACTGGAAGGTCAGTTGACTACATTGGATCTTTTCTACTCTAGGAGGACAGTGATTCATCCTTACGGAACTGTCACCGTATCAGAGGTGTATTTGCTTTTCCTGACTATAGTGCCTCCACACGAGCACACACACTGAAAGGCTTACAGAATGCCTGATTCACTGATGTGGAATCCTACACGACACTGCCTCATGTCAAGAGATCCATTTTATGGTAAAGCAGGTCAATTATTTATTTCCGTGTAGCAAGCCACTTAAAATCTCAATGATATAAAACAAAAATGACATTATTTCTCGTGATTGTGTGGAATTCACTCAGGGCTTAGCTGGGTCCTGGGCTCTTCTGCTCTAGGTGGTTTTGGCTGTGTTCACAAGATTGCTTGTATAAAGCTGGGCTGAGCAAAGGTCCAAGAAGGCTTCACTGACATGCCTTGCTCCTCTGTGGTCCTCTGTGTGGCCTCTCTCTCCGTACATGAGAATATGACATTAAGAAGTCTAACCTAAGCTGCTTCATAGTATGGCAGCTGGCTGCCCCCAGGGAGGGAGTGGAAGTTGTCAGTCCTTTTAAGGCCTAGGCTCAGACCCCAAACTTTACTTCTATCATTATCTATCAAAGATGAGAGGAATTTTCAGTAGCCATGTTTGGAGACTACTGACCACAGTCCCGAATAGCTAAAATATACAGGCTTTGGAATTAAGGGTGGGAAGCAGTACTGACACCACACCATTGATCCCAGTGACCCCTTTGTGGAATTTGTGCTTCTTGCCCCACCTAGGGGCTTCCTGGTTGTCACTGAGGCATGACATAAACACACATGTGCAATCCAGAAGCACAGAGGAGTTACTATGGCGTGTGGAAATTAATAAAAGAAACCTTAACAAAACTGGAGTCAGGAAGGCCTATAGAGGGGCTCTCATGCCCATCACACACTGTCAATTACACCAAACAGGAAGACTCTGACACTTGCATCTTGGACAGGAAGTACAAGTACTTAACTACTGAAGGAGGAGGTCTCTCCCCACTGGTCAACAGCCCAGCCAATGAGAAGCCGTTGCTGCCCTGAATTATGTCCCCCCAATGGCCATATCCTCTGGTGGAAGACCAATTTAGGAAAACAAGCAATCCAGAGTGCCTGATACTAAATAATGTCCAGCTCATTAAGCAACCCCTGTTTGTGCTCTCCTCCTTCCATGCCTCACTCCTTTTGCTCGCATTCCTAATTCTATAGGGCTGAGGTCTTTTAATAAAGTAGCACAAAAGCTTCTCTGTCAAGCTCTGCTTTCTGGAGAACCAAAGCTAAGACATTGAGACCTGCACTAAAGGAATTCATAAAGGATGTCATTCAGAAAGAAAATTATCTCAAAAGATAGTTTGAGATGTAAGAAGGAATGGTGAGCAAAAAGGAAAAGAATGGTGAACATGTAAAAATGGAAACACTGCACAAAATAATAATAATAAATTAGTTTGTGGAGTTTAAAAAAAGATTGATAAAATTCTGAACAACAATAGCATGTTAGTCAGAAGGGTGAATAATTAAGAGTTCTCTGGCCCTTGTACTGTGCCAGAGGTGCATTAAGATATTGTATAAATTTAGACTTTGTTAAATCAAATATGCATTGTAAAATTTTAAGGGTAAGCAGGCCGGCCTTGTGGCATAGCGGTGAAGTTCCCCGCACTCCACTTGAGTGGCCCAGGTTCGCTGGTTGGGATCCTGGGACCTACACCACTCATCAGCGATGCTGACGCAGCGACCCACATACAAAAAGGTAGAGAAAGATTAGCACAGATGTTAGCTCAGGGAGAATCTTTCTCAACAAACAAACAGACAAAAATTTCAAGGATAACCACTTAAAAAATATAAGTGGAGGGGCCGACCCTGTGGCTTAGCGGTTAAGTACACGTGCTCCACTACTGGCGGCCCGGGTTCGGATCCCAGGCGCACACCAACGCACCGCTTCTCCAGCCATGTTGAGGCTGCGTCCCACATACAGCAACTAGAAGGATGTGCAACTATGACATACAACTATCTACTGGGGCTTTGGGGAGAAAAAGGGAGGAGAATTG